ATCAGTTAGCCTGGTCAGCTTTAGCCTGGTCGTTTAGCTTGGTTAGTTAGCCTGGTCTACATTGGCTGGGTTAGCTTCAGCCTGGTAACTTTGCCTGGTCAGCTTCAGCCTGGTTACTTAGCCTGGTCAGCTATGGTCTAGTCATTTAGTTTAGTTATTTAGCCAGGGGTCAGTTAGTCTGTTAGTTAGCCTGGTCAGCTTTGGCCTGGTCTGTTAGCTTGGTTAATTAGTCTGGTTAGTTAGCATGGTCAGCTTTAGCCAAGTCACTTAACTTGTTTAGTTAGCCTGGCTAAATAGTCTGGTATGTTAGCCTGGTCACCTTTGGCCTGATCAGTTAGCCTGGTAAGTTAGCTGGTCAGCTTTGGCCAAGTCACTTAACTTGTGTAATTATCCTGGTTAAATAGCCCGGTCAACTTTAGCCTGGACAGTTAGCTTAGTCAATGAGAAGCTCTTTTAAGCTTTATTGAAATGACGTCAGGCGTTAGTTTGAAGTATAAATGTGTTAGTGCGCATGTCATAAAGGAGAAAATGGTGAGTAACCAAGATTTCTAAGCTATAGCTTCTTAAACTAAACCAAATTATAGGTAGTTTAGTTTAGCATAAAACATGGAATGGAAACAGAAAATGACTCCGTCTAAAATCTGCTGACCATCGAACATTTTTTTACAGCACATCCCATTTGTTTGACTCCTTTTTAATTGACTGTCACATTTAAAATATGTATATATTGACCTATAAAAATGTTCTACTCCAGATACTCTAAAACAACATGGTTGGTTGATGTGTTCTTTATTACACAAGCACAATCACAAACTACTGAAATTATGTAATAAACAATTACATCATGGAAAATCAGGTGTGCATGTTGTTGGAGAAGTACAGGAAAATGTGTTTCCCTGCAGAAGCAACATAAATTGCAGCTAAGTTAAATCTCTTTTTGTAACCATCTGAAATATTGAAAGCTCCTCTGCTTCACACAGAACGTATTTCGTTGACATATACTGTATACCCAAAGGTGTTTTTATTACCAAGGTTTACAGGTAAATCATTGTAAGTTACAGTCACTCCCTAACGCTCCCTGACACTAAATTACAGATGTAGTCTCCACTTGCATCTCTCATTATGGTCTCACACCGTTTGACAAGCGTCTTATTTAGAAAACTTTAATTATTAGTTATTATGTACAACGTCTCACATGACTTGTGTTCACAACTCAGTCTGATGACAAACCCCGAGATAATTCATTAGGCAGAACGGAAGACCTTGACAGCTGGGCCTAAGTTCAGAGAGCCTGCATTTATCTGGCAGTCGGGGTGTAAAGCACAAACACGCACTGTTGTGATACATGAGGAGGAGTCTTTCCAGGACAGTATTTTGAGCACTTGGCAAGTGCAGATTCCCACTGAGGAGTGTTGACAACATACAGTACTTAACCAGGAACCTTACACTTATGCATGTAAACAAACATAGACACAAAACTTGGCTTAGCGGCGCAACAAAAACCCAGTTGAACAAATTTTGGTTGGCAAGGCGCTCAGTTCAGATGACAGGGCGGGGCGCTCTCCTTGGGTAATGGTAAGAGAAACACTGATTTATTTGTTCTTGTGCAACAATATCGACATTATAAATATATTGGGCACACCCGCAAGGCAGGTCCATATATTTCCCAGCCAATGCTTGCTGGTGTCATCACAAAGGTGAGACAATCCACTTGGCTTTTTCTATTCAAATCTGCTCACTGTGTCACCTGGACCCACCTACTTTTCTTCGTCCCCTCATCACTAAAAATGCAGCGCTACCGCAAACCTGTAAATTAGTAAGTGGAGCCATCTGACCTTTGATCATCAAAACACCCGTCCTTCTATCTGTAAAACATCTAACATTTGCGTGGAAGAGTCCAAACTCCCACTGTTCCGTTTCATTTTGTTCCAGACCAGAAATGCTCTTTAAACAGCAGAACGTGACACAGCTCAAATCTGCATATTTCGAGGGAAGTGTACGCGATTTTTGTTTCACACTGGAGGAGCGATGAACTATTTCAAATGTCAGATGACTTTGTGAAACTAGGGAAGCATTAGGGTTGGCAATGTCCATTTAAAGTCAGTTTAACAGTATGAATGAAGTCCAGGAAGAGAATGCACGAGAACAACAGAAAAAGGGTAGAGTTCATGCAGATGAATGAGGAAGGGGAAGCGGTAAGGAGAAAGAGTTGCTACAGAGGCAGCTTTAAATGGCCATCTTGTCAGTTTACCGTATCTACTTTTGTGTGTGTTTTAATGTGATAAATAAACGTGAGCCTGCTGAGAACACCGTAAGGGATTAAAAAATAAATATACATGTTCAAATTCCATCACTGCCTTTGCTGCATCATGGTAGAAGGAAATCCAAGCATGGCTTAAGAGTGAATCAATCAATAAATCAATCAGAGAGTGGCAGGATATTAAAGAGCCACATCTACTGAGCAATAAAATAACTATTGCATTGGATATGGAGAAAAAGACGGCCTGCATTCAGCCACAGCCTGTGTTTTTTTAAGGTGACTCCTGTTGTTTTTCCGGCAGCATCAGCACCACATTTACACACAGATTAGTCTACAGTATCAGTTTAATCCAGAGAGAAACCGTGGAGTTAGAATGAGGGTTTGGATGTTAAATCCTGGGCCTTAGAGGGAGGAGTCCTGCGTTTCAATTGCCTCATACCGTTACAGCAGGTGCACGAGACGCTTAGTTCACACATATCACACTCCGAGCATACTCTTATATCTGTATATAAAACGGTACATCACGAGATAAGACATCAACATCAATCCCTTCCCCTGTATTTTCTCCAAACCCTCCGCCATTCTCGCCTTTCAAATTGCGAGGCGCTCTGTGCACCGCGGCGTGCACGAGACGTGCCCCAGTGCATGACGCTGAGCCAATCAGGAGCGCCGTTCCGAAAGTTTACCTTTTATGGCGAGAGCCGAGCCGCTCGCGCAGTATAAATAGCAAGCGCCCAGATCTGCTGGACTCACTCTCAGCGTCGTCACGCTCACAGCTTGTGCGGGATTTCATTTGCCTGAAACCGGTTCCCTTAAGTCGAAAAGCCCCCCCACCCAAAGGTAAGCAGACCGAAATTAGCTGTTCACACGCTTCTACTTTTAGTCCAGCCATAATGTGAACATTAATTACAGTAGACTATTTTTAGATGTTTAAATTTGTCTTTTTTAATTACCTGAAAGAAGCACGAGGTTCTTTGTCCTGCCGGTAACAAACTGCTTATATTCTGTATTTGATTCTTCACTAGTATTGTATATTTTTAAAAATGTTTTAATTGTTAAAAAAAAACAAGATTTTTCGGGTGCTTTTAACCGGCTCATGTTTAACGTTACCTTGAGTTAGCGGTGCTGTTAAAGTCGGGCTTAATTAAATGTTTAAGTACTAGCCGCTCGGATTTATGGATTTTACCCCCACACTTAGTTTTTTTTCCCCCTGTAAGTTGAGGCTGTCTGGCTCAGGGCTGCTCCCTTTGTGCCGCCTGATCTAACGGGGTGTGACCTACTTTAGCTTAGCCACCTCATGCTAACACGCCCTTTGACTAACGGCTGCTGCCGGCCTGGCGCTCCGCACGGCGCTTTGATTAGCCAGCATTGCTAACGAAAGATTAGCTTTCACTTAAGGCCAACTGTAAAAAATGATTAGCCCTGGTTGTTGGGTCAAAGTTAATTACTCAACGGTTTAACACGAAAAACTGGATTTTTTTTTTTTTTTTTTCTCCCAATGACTTCAGGTTTAAAGGCGTGGCTTTAAGGATGTTGGGCTGAATTCATTCACAAATCTGAAAAGTTATGATTCAGCTTTAAGTGTTAAAGCCCGTCAAAATGTAATTCCTCTACGCGGTCGTATCAAGGGGGCCCTCAGACATGGGGTCCCTGAATGCAGCAGTAAAGGTTTCCGGTCGATTTTTATGACGCAGTGATATTAAAGCAGATTTCTGAGGGGTATTGAGCCACAATGGGGTGGAGAACTGTAGTGAACTTGAGGGAGTGGTCTGTCCGGGTTTGATGTCGACTGTTGGCTTTTTTTTTTTTTCTCCTTCCTTGCATTCTGGCTGTTGGCCACCGCGCGGGTAGCCGCAAAGCTGCTCTAAACCGAGCCATGCCCTTATATGGTTATAAGAGAATGCAGCAACACTTCCTTTTGTCTGGCTTGGGCGGAATGTGGTGCGCATGCGCCATCTAGCAGCCTGGTTGGTGCACTGCAGCTGCTTGAACAGGAAGTGAGACTACAGAGCAGCTGCCTCTGGGTGGATGTGATGCTGACTCTTCTCTTCCCCTCTTTCTCCTCAGTTAAGCCATGGATGAGGAAATCGCCGCACTTGTTGTTGACAACGGATCCGGTATGTGCAAGGCCGGATTTGCTGGAGACGACGCCCCTCGTGCTGTCTTTCCCTCCATCGTTGGTCGCCCCAGACATCAGGTAAGATTTACTTGTAACTTTCTAACTTAACTAAAGTACAATAATCAAATTGCTAAAAGAGAAACGAGGCATAATAAATGGCAGCTTAAATTATTATAATTTTAATTGTATAAACTGATCTCATTTGTTCTAGTGCTAATGAATGTTAATATTTCAGGGAGTGATGGTGGGCATGGGCCAGAAAGACAGCTACGTAGGTGATGAAGCCCAGAGCAAGAGGGGTATCCTGACTCTGAAGTACCCCATCGAGCACGGTATTGTCACAAACTGGGATGACATGGAGAAGATCTGGCATCACACCTTCTACAACGAGCTGAGAGTTGCCCCTGAGGAGCACCCTGTCCTGCTCACAGAGGCCCCTCTGAACCCCAAAGCCAACAGGGAGAAGATGACCCAGGTATACAGCCTTCATGGATCAGTTTTAGTCACTACTTGGAAAGTGACCTCAGCTTTTCAGTTTCCTTCTCATTTTCACTTCCTCCTCCCTCCCCCTCTTCTCCAGGATCTCTCTCCTATAAGATGATCTTTCATCAACAGGTTTCTGACTGTGTGCCTTTATCTGCACTAAAGATTTAGCTGAGCTAACTGCTCGGCCACTAGAAGTCTGACATGCACAGTGTGAATGTAGTTTCTGCACTTTTAAACTAACGGTTTGTCTTACTCTGCATGTAGTGAATGCAGTGACTACAAATCCATGACCAAAAACACAAACGTGTTCTCTCTTCCTTTCAGATCATGTTTGAGACCTTCAACACCCCTGCCATGTACGTTGCCATCCAGGCCGTGCTGTCTCTGTATGCCTCTGGTCGTACCACCGGTATTGTCATGGACTCTGGTGACGGTGTGACCCACACAGTGCCCATCTATGAAGGATACGCTCTGCCCCACGCCATCCTGCGTCTCGACTTGGCTGGCCGTGACCTCACAGACTACCTCATGAAGATCCTGACTGAGCGTGGTTACTCCTTCACCACCACAGCCGAAAGGGAAATTGTGCGTGACATCAAGGAGAAGCTGTGCTACGTTGCCCTGGACTTCGAGCAGGAGATGGGCACTGCTGCCTCTTCATCTTCCCTGGAGAAGAGCTACGAGCTGCCCGACGGACAGGTCATCACCATCGGCAATGAGAGGTTCCGTTGCCCAGAGGCCCTCTTCCAGCCTTCCTTCCTCGGTAAGTTCCTCTTGAACCCTGCCTTAACTCTGGACATGGTGGCTGTCCTACGTATTAAGCGTTTGTTTGCTCTCAGGTATGGAGTCCTGCGGAATCCACGAGACCACCTACAACAGCATCATGAAGTGCGACGTCGACATCCGTAAGGATCTGTACGCCAACACTGTGCTGTCTGGAGGTACCACCATGTACCCCGGCATCGCCGACAGGATGCAGAAGGAGATCACAGCCCTGGCCCCATCCACCATGAAGATCAAGGTGAGTTGTTGTGGAGCAGCATCTTCAGCTGACGTTTGACACGTGGTCTAACTCCTCCCTCGTTTCTTGACAGATCATCGCCCCACCAGAGCGTAAATACTCTGTCTGGATCGGAGGCTCCATCCTGGCCTCCCTGTCCACCTTCCAGCAGATGTGGATCAGCAAGCAGGAGTACGACGAGTCCGGCCCCTCCATCGTCCACCGCAAATGCTTCTAAACAGACTGTTCCTCCTCCCCTCCCAAACACCAAACATCTTCAGCTCTGTGCAGAACCACACATTTCTCATACTCGGGCGCAGAGCCTAGACAACTCATTGGCATGGCTTCAGTTATTTTTGGCGCTTGACTCAGGATTTAAATAAACTGGAACGATGAAGGAAACAATGGTTTTTGGCTATGTTAAATAAAAAATATCCCGGTTCGTCCTGGGACTTCAAAATGTACCTTTTGTCATTCCAAATGTCTAACTGCATTCTTCAGATATGATTCCAGATGTTAACTGCATTGTTCAGACACGTATTTGCCTCTGTGAAGGCTGCCCAGTGGTTGGAGCATACTTTAACTTGGTTGTAGTATCGCTTGTATGTAAATTTGTCTGGGTTTTTTGTACTTTCAGCCTTAAAGAAAAAGTCTTGGTCCTGTTTAGTTTTTGTTTTTGTTATGCAAAACCCAACTGACCTTCTTCCTCTGAAGGATTCACCCCAGGGTGCCGGGGCAAGGGGGTCTTGAAGTAACTGGGTATCATGGGTTGCCAGACCAGTGGGGCCAACCTGTACACTGACTAAACAATCCCAATAAAGTGCACATGTGTTCCAACATAACACGACTCCGTCTGTTCTGCACATGCAGGTCTTCTTCCTGAACGAACTATAAAGGTCCCTCCGCACAGTGACTTAATACTCCCAGCAACTATTCTGTTATTTGGTAATGAAATAAATACTAAATTGTGTTCTAGCCACACAGGCAGTTTAAATGTAAATGTGCTTAAAGGTCCTAAAGAACTTTGATTTTCAACCTCAGAAAATACCTGGCATGAAATATACAATATAAAAATACTGATTTAAAAGAGGAAGTAAAAGTAAAGCTCATGGCAATGCCTCTGACATTTGAGGCTAAAATTTGATTTTAAACGATACTTTACAACTAAAGAGAAACTTTGAATGGGCCTGGATTTTTAGAGTAAACTCTCGAAATGAAGCGGTTCCTCAGTTTGGACAGCAGGTGGCAGCAGCGGCTCAAACCAGGATGTAAAACTTTGACCTGTGCTACGACCAGTTCCATTTAATGGACCCGATATGCTGCTTGATGCAGTAACAAGAGACAGATGTGTACAGCTGGAATGAAGCTGAGGGGTAAATCAAAGTTCCTGTTTGTGCAACTGGATCTGTGCATTATATAAGAGGTGTTTTAGTACTAACATGAATTCATACATGTACTCATGTCATGCAGAGCGATGCTGCATTCTCACACACATTCTGGAGATGAGCATGCATCAGGATATTCTGGAGATTTATTCCATCTCTGTGCCCCCGCCACCTCCATCTCTCCCTGTATTTCTGCTGAGACTGCTTTCATCTGATATCCTTTTACTGCAGCACCAGCAAAACACCTTATGCTCTTGGAATGTGTGTGAGCTCCATTTTTCTTATCGCATCAGTGTGTGTGTGTAACTGCGCTGGTCTGCAGGTGTCCAGGAATGATGGAATGTCCAGTTCAAAATCAGTCTGTCCCAGCAGTTCCCTTTACCACACCGCTGTAGACCGATGAAAACATTGTTCCCAGTTGATGGCAGAGTTTTAGATATTCTTGAGGGCTGACCCAAAGATTAATCAGCTGTAGCTCCAGTAATTCCTGCAAGAAGATTGTAATAAAATCCATGCAGCGCGTTTGATCACGGGCTGCAGTTCCATGGTTTCACCAGCAGGTGGTGCTGTTTCACCACAGTAATAAGTACAAACTGAGAAAATTATTTCATCATGCATTCAGGATTTGTACATGGTTTTTTTAAGCCACCAGGTGATCCCCCCCCCCACCCCCCCATTATTCCAATACATACCAATGAAGATGTGAACATGAAGGTATGACAGTGAACATGTGGCTGTTTTGTTTCTTAACTGGAAGTAGAAAGTAAATCAGGAACTGAGCAGCTGAACTGTTTACCCTTTGCAGGATGTCTGTTGCATCACTTTTTTTTTTTTGGTTGCATTAAGGCTTGAAAGCTTTTGTAAAAAATAAAAACCCAAATGTTATTTCTTTTGAGCTTGAGCCACGAGTCATAAACAGCCACTAAAAAGGGCTCGTCGCGCTCTGCAAGCTTGCTCAAAACCGAATGTTTTCTTTCCTTCCAGTGAATTTAAACAAACATGAACAACTCTCTGTTTGTATGGAGTGTCATATAATGTTCAGAGAATGTGTTAAGAGACAAAAAGGGTTACATTTATAATGATGGGCTAATAAACCGCCTTGCTGGATTTCCTGTCTGAACACTTCAGACCCTTCTGAAACCAGAACACTGCAGACAGGTTTTTATCTTGTGTGTGTGTGTGTGTGTGTGTGTGGTATAATCTGAGTCTGAGGGTGTGTGGAGCTCTTTGGGAGGGGTCATATTTTGGGTTTCACTCTCCAGGGAAAGGGTTGATGGTCTCCCTGCTCCATCCCCTGGAGGGGGGTCAATGTGTCCTCACACCCGGGGCAAATCTGGTGAGTCAGCTGAATGAAACCTTTACCTGATTCTTTAGCTGATGCACTCACAGAAATGATTCATGGCAGAGTTCATTTTGATGCATTTACTTCTATTTGATTTAATTTAAAAACTCATATTTTTCATTTGTACCCCTTAAAATGAGTTATTATCTGCAGTGTAGATAAAAATGTAGATTTTACACAATTTAATCAATTCTAAAATGTACTGAATGTTAATACCTATTAACATGGTTTAAATAATCAAAGTTGTAAAAAATCAAAACAAGATTCTGTTGTTTAAAATGTGACTGTTTATTACATGAATGATTATGCATCATGTAAGATTTATTAAATAGGTTTGTGTTAAAATTATCTAAAATAAAGTAAAAGGGAATTTGTCATGTAATAAAATTACATCAAACTTAAAAGTTAGGGTTAAATATTTCTGTGAGTGTGGGACATCATGAACCAGGGGCGTCAAACCCACTTACAAAAGGGGCCAAAATTAAAACATTTTTCAAAGTAAGGGCCGGTTTCAGAACCTCCATCAACTCAAATCAGATACTCAACATCTGCTCTTGGTTGCAGGTTCCTCAACAAGAGTTTGGTCTCATCTGACGTTCTCTGTTGCACTTTTGACATCAAAATCAAAGATTACTGAAAAATCAAGTGATACAAGTACTGTACATTTAAAATAACATCCTGGGGGCCAGAAAAGATGTCAACGAGGGCCATATTTGGCCCGCGGGCCTTGAGTTTGACACATGTCACGAACCCTGGACATCAGCTAAAGGCTGAAGTGTCCGAGTCAAACGTGGCAAATGTTCAGCAGAATCAAAACTTTTTTTGTGTTAAATAATGAAGGTAAAAATATGATGGAACGTCTTGTGACTCATGGATCACGACTTCTCTGTTTGTTACCACCACAGCTGCTCACGGAAAACAAGTTTGGGTCAGAAGTTGAACGGTCTTCGTCTGACTCTAGTCTCACTGGACTGCAGCTACAGCCCTATGACTGAGACGGGCTCAGGACAGATTCACCTGCAACAAATCTGGACCTCAAAGCCCCGGTGACATAAAGACTAAAGTATAAGCATTTGATTACACAAACTCCCTCGTGACGCTGTTTCACAAAATTAGAGCCCGTTCTCCAACGATTCGGGACATAAAACTGTAAGCAAATCCAAAACTTTTCAGAGAAATAAAACTTGCTCGCTGGAACAACTAAACTGAAAAAGATTTAAGACTGACGCAACGTGAGAATTAGTCCAGCAAACAGTTCAAACAGAGAGCTTACTGCTGAAGAAAATGCTGAAAAACAGCTGAAATGAGCTAAAAACATGCTGAAATGTATGGTAGTTGCAATGGAAGAACAAGCCAAAGTTAGCAGACGAAAGCAAAAAAACAAAAAAAAACATTTGCTGAATTATATTTAAAAAAGCAAAAATTAGAACAAAAATTAGCTTAAAAAAGCTGAAATTAGCAAAACATAGCTGAGAAGTAGCTGAAAAGGCAGAGGCTTAAACTGCAGGAAGTGGAAAGAGTTGAGAAGAGCTCCAAAAATGTAGAATTAGCTGAAAAAGCTACATTTAGCACAAAACAGCAAAATAGTTGCTGAAATAGCAGAAAACGCTTAAACTAGAAGCAAACAGCTGAAAGGAGCATAAAAAGCTGAAATTAGCAGAAAGATTTTAATTGGGCTGAAAGTAGCAGAAATTACTACAAAAAAACTTTAATTTATCTGAAAACAGGGAAATTAGCTAAAAATGCTAGCTGAACAGGTAGAACAAGCTGAAATTTGCAGAATAAAGCAGAAAGAACATTTTTGCCCAATTAGGCTGAAAGACGCAGAAATTACCCGAAAAAAGGCTGAAAATAGCAACAACAAAAAAAAGCAGAAAGAAACTTAAATAACAGAAGTGGAGCGAGCACATTTTTGCTGAATTAGGTTGAAAAAAGTTGAAAGAAGTGCAAAAAATGTGGAATTAGCTGAAAAAGCTAAAATGAGCATAAAACAGCTAAATAGTAGCTGAAATACTAGAAAAAGCTGAAACATGCATAAATAAGCTGAAATTAGCAAAAAGAAATAGAAGCACAAACATATTGTAGCAGCAAGAAAGGAGCACAAAACAGCTTAAAGAACAGCTGAAGGTAGCTGAAAAAAGTTTAAATTTGCACAAAGAAGCTGAAAAAAGTTTAAATTTGCACAAAGAAGCTGAACCAGAACAAAATGTGAAAGGAGCAGTAAAAGATTGTAAACAGATCTAAAGATTTGAAGGATGAAAAATGAACTCAGTTCATTTTCTATGAGGATAAAAAATGGCAGAAAAGGCAGTCCTGAAAAAGCTGAACGTTGTGATTTACGTTTTGTTGAAATAGTTTTGTAACTGCGCAACGAGGAAGATGCTGAAAAACATACAGAAGAAAAACGGATCACAACAGTGTGAATGCTTCATAAACATCCACACTGTTAAAAACGGTCGCAAATGTTTCGAGACATCCAGGAGACTCACACTTTGTCACTCCGGTGTCGTAAGAATTTTATACAAAGAACTTGCAGGACTTTATTTGCGAACTTCTAGGCTTGTTTTTATGTTAATATGTAAACTCCCAATGAATTTGGTCCACATTTCATTTTACACAAACATGTCATAAAATATCGCAATTCTGTCGCAGCAGTGATCTATCTGTGACTTTTTAAACCTGGTAATATTTTACATCTTCACATCAATACACCTTGAATTGTTTATTTGTACGTTTAAATCTTTTTTTTTTTATGTCTCTGCTTTTCTTGCATTTTTAAACATTAGCGACATGTTTTAATGTCGTTAACAACTTTCTCAATAATAGTGTCGACGCTTTTATCCACACAAAGACTAAACAAACGGTGGCTTTGTGTTTCAGTAAGAATAGTTTATTTAACTTATTACATAAATGAAAATATGTTCTAGGTGTATCCTTTTGTTTCCAATAAAATGATGGGTTCAAAGATTAAACATGTCGAGTTACACAAAGACCCACCTCAGAGGAGAAGCTGTATTTACATTAAAAAACAAGAAGGAGAAGATGAACCCTGCCTCCCTCCTCCTCCTCCTCTCCTCGGGCTGAAAAATCAACAATGAGCCCTAATTTGAAGGCATTGTCTGAATTCCCAGTCGGAGAGATTTGGAGAACAAAGGCCGGGCCCGGTCCCCTCGGACGGTTCGAGACATCGCTCTGATCTCCGCCTGGTAGGTCCCTCCCCGGGTCCCGTCATGGCTGACGAGGGGCGGCGACCAGACAGGTCAGCGGGGGTGAGGGTTCTCGTCGAGCGGACTTCCTCGGCTGGGTCCAAATGGACAAGAGAATAACGCAATGCACCGACCATTAACCGACTGCAGCGACGGCGTAACCGCTCCTCCTCCTCGTGCTGCATTTCTTTTTAGCCTGGGCTGAAGCCCCTCCCCCTTAGGAGGGTGGCCTTGAAACCGACAGACTGCGGTAGGCGGAGCTTCGTCGTGGGCCGCTTGAAACCGCCACGGGTTTTTTTTTTTTAAACCAACGTTTTTGCAGAGCGGTGTACTTCAAAGAAAACTTATGGATAATAAAAATTCCCCGGTCCAACTGTGCTAAGCGCGAGGAGGAACAGCAAGGTCATGCCGGGGGGGGTTAAGAGTTAACACTAAAAATGTCCCCTCCTCTCCCTCCTCATCTGAACATAAATATCAATTGAAGGGCTACGGCAATTTCCCTCCTCTTCTTATGCAAATATGCGTGTTTGTTCCCGCCTAGCCTTGGGATTCCACGCAAGAAGGACGCTGCGTTTTCTCACCTCCAGCCCTGCGGGTTTTTTCTTCTTCTTCATTTATATTCCGAAAAGCCTGGCTTTGTTCCCTGGAGGAGAGATAAGTTTTAAGAAATCAAAAACTCTCAGCCCCTTTGTGAAGGAGACAACAATGACAGTTGTTGGAATAATAAACACAGTCTTAATGATGCTAAATCACGCCTTGGAAAGAAGAAGGTAATCACCGGAAAGATTAGCATTTTATGCTAAAATGTCCGAGTGCTTAGTGCTGAATGACTGCTGAAATTTGATGAATAAGAATAAACTGTAGAAGAAGAACACTAGCTAATCTAAATGCAGCAAGCCAAAAGTTAACTCCAGCAAATGACAACTAAAAACTAAAATTAGCAAAAAGCCAGCTAAATGATAACTGTAGCAGAATTGTAACAAAAAGCTAGGCTAGTTGAAGGCTAATAGTAGCAGAGTGGCAACTAAAAGCCACTAGTAGCAAAAGGACAGCTAAAAAAAGTAGCTGTAGCAGAATAGTAGCTAAAAATGCAAAAGGCTAGTTAAAGGCTAACAGAAGCAGAATAGCAAAAAGCCAAAAGGCTAGTTTAAGGCTAATAATAGTGGCAACTAAAAGCTAATTATAGCAAAGGGAAGCTAAAAAAGTAGCTTTAGCAGAATAGTAGCTAAAAGCTAAAAACCCAAAAGGCTAGTTTAAGGCTAATAGTAGCAGAGTGGCAACTAAAAGCTAATAGTAGCAAAAGGAAGCTAAAAAAGTAGCTTTAGCACAATAGTAGCTAAAAGCTAAAAACCCAAAAGGCTAGTTGAAAGCTAATAGTAGCAGAGTGGCAACTAACAACCAATAGTAGCAAAAGGACAGCTAAAAAAGTAGCTGTAGCAGAATAGTAACTAAAAATGCAAAAGGCTAATTAAAGGCTAACAGAAGCAGAATAGCAAAAAGCCAAAAGGCTAATTGAAGGCTAATAGTAGCAGAGTGGCAACTAAAAGCTAATAGTAGCAAAAGGAAGCTAAAAAAGTAGCTTTAGCAGAATAGTAGCTAAAAGCTAAAAATGCAAAAGGCTAGTTAAAGTTAACAGAAGCAGAATGGTAACAAAAACCCAAAAGTAGCAATAGGCCATTTACAAGTAGCAGAGTGGTAACTACAAGTTTAAAATACAAAAGGCTAAAAGTGTCAGAACAGCAGCTAAAAACTCGGAAACAGATATATGAGAAATGTGCTTTTAAAGGAACTGAATTATTTTTTAATTTTGTTAAACATATTCACATATAAACTAAAATAAAAAGTATCAAACTTAAAAAAGCAACAATAGCAGCCATCAGCTAAACAAGCTGAACGTTTGGATATATGAATAGCTAAAAAAAAAAAGGTCACAGTATGCAGAAGTAAAACACAAGTAGACAAAAAATAAAAATCAAGTAAAAAAGTAATTTTTTAATAATGTTTTATTTGAAAGTGCTCTGTGCAGTAAACTAAGAGAAAGTAATTTATTAGTCCAGTTAATAATTCACTCTATCCTGGTGATAAGTGAACGACCCGGCCTGCTGCAGCTGATATTTTAAGGTTTACCAACCATAGCCTACTTTCTGCTTCTCACCTGCAGGTTTTTGCATAAATTTGGAAAAGGTGGGGGCTTCATTACACCGTCATTACTGCCTGTGGAAGACGGAGACAGGGAAATGATGCTGACTGTTTCTGTTAATTTGTTAGGCCTCTAAGCAAAATTTCTCATGGACGAATGGACGGATTGATGAATGTATGAATTTCCAGGATGTAATCATTAGACGTTGGTCTACAACTGATTAACGTTTGGAGGCAGCTCAGTTTGAGATGAATGCCACAGTTACTCAGCCCTAGCAGACACAAAAAAGGTTAAAATATTAGTTGAAAATGTCATGTGGTAGCATGGTACATACTCTGAGGGGTAACAGATCAAAGCTCTGTCATTTCTCAGCACAAGATGATCTATTAGTTTACAGCTCTGGCATAGAAGGCCTACATAAAACTACACGATAAGCTGCAACAAAAATACCTGCAGCAGCAGATAGCTGTAGCACTTCTAGTGCAGCCTAATACTTAATATTGCCGGGTTGATATTTTCTGTCAGAATAACTATCAAATGTAAAAATTGACAGTGGTTAGCTTTGTCGGAATTAGACTGTTCAGATAGCTCTGGAACATCCCAGAAGAGCTTAACTATTCCTTAACACACACAAACCTAAAAAAAAAAAAAGAAGAAGTAAAGAACGACAACTCTCTGTTTGTTTTGATCGTTCAGTTTTGGAAGGAAAGGGGACCTTGAAACTGCTCGGCCTCCTTACTCTATAATTGGTTTTATGCTGCTGGAGAGCGGCCAGATTGGGTTGGTGTTTGGAGGGGACTGTTGATTGACACTTATTTCAGCCAATCAGGCCGCGGTATGAAAGGGTTTGCGGTAGTGGAGGAGATGGGCGGAGCTTGTGAAACAATGCTGCGTTTCATTGCTGACTAGGATCTTTCTCTCTCTCTGCCCCCCCTCCAGTTTTCCCCCAGTTTACCTTCGGACCAGCCCAGAATGGACTACTCCAGTTATTCCAGCAGCTTTGATGGATTTTTGGAGAAGCGCTGGCGTTTTTAGCCCCCTCATCGACATTTCTCTCCAGTGAAGTAAGCGCTAAAAGGGCTTGATAATCTTCCACTTGTTCGCGCAACTAAAAAAAAAAGAAGCAAACGGTTTTTGAAACCTTTACATTTTGGGACTTTAAAAAAAAAAAAAGGGCGCGGAGGTTTTTAAGTTCGACGTGTTGGTTTTCGGTGGGCTTACCGACCCGGACTTTCGGAAAGGTTTCCTCGGGGAAAGTTTCTGCGTGTCTTTAATGGAGCCGTGAGAAAGTTTGAAACGTGGCTGAAATGCGGAGCTCCGCCGCCGCCTGCCTCTCCGTGCCGCAGGGGAGCTCCGCCGAGCCGGAGACCGTCCATGTAACTTACTTTTCCGACTCTCTTTTAACGCCATTAAAGGCAACATTATCGCCTGTTCTGAGAGGGTTTATTGTTTTTACTCGGATCCTGTAGCGCGTTTTCCTGCAGTTTTGGAGGTTAAAATAGCCACGCTGTTTTATTTATTTTGTATTTTTATCTAATCTTCAAGACATACCACGTCTAAACAGGTTGGTTTTGTATCTGCATCGAGCAGTACTTTAAAATTTGCTTGTGTTTTTACCCTTTTAAAGCAACTTTTTTTACATTGTTTTTGTGGCTTTGAGTACTTGTGCGTGTATTACTATCAGTTTTATCAGACGAAGTCGTGGTTTTGCTTTAAGTAACAAGCCAAATCTTCAGTTTTATGATATTAAGCGCTTAATTTAATGCGGTTTTATGTTTTTTTTTATTATTACGGTCGGAGTTTTTATTCACGTCGGGTTCTGGTTTCTGGGCAACACCGAGGTCCAAGACGGTGAAGTAACCCGGGACTAAATTTACATGTGCGGGCAACAAAACACCGCAAACTCCGCTGATTAATGACGCAGGGGGGGTTTCACCTTTATTTATTTTTAACTCGTTTGAAATGTATATTAGATGCGCTTTCAGTATTTATGGTGTATTGGTTTACACGCATCCACTCCGTCGACACTGAAAGAAGGGGATAAATAATTAAACCTGGGGGGTTTTAGGTGGTTTTCATGGCCCGGTCCGGGGAGGTTTTAATGGCGGGCAGCGGAGCCGCCGCTCGGCCGCTCCTCGGGTTGGCTCCCCGGTAAGCGGAGCTCCTCAGTCGGCTCACTTGGTGGGGCTGAAGCGCTGCTCGTACACCAAATTACTAAAAAATACAAATATAAGTAGTCGACGGTGCATTTTTGAGGATGTGACGGGGGATTTGATGAAGGGTCTCCGGCTAAGGCTCGATGTTTAGCTAGTTTTTGAACTGTTTTTTTTAACTGCGTCATTGAACACACGGGCCGCCTTTTCGCTAAAAACAAGAAAAATCCCGAAACTATCCAAAACGTTTCAACAATGTTCGGTTCTGTATCGAGTCATGCTTTCCTTTTTTGTATTTTAGGTCAGCAGAATGGCTGAAAAGGAGTCGGAATCGCCTGGTGGGAAACTAAAGCCATTAATATTACCATTATAGCCCAAACTGGGGTTTTTCGCCATCCGAACGGACGATTTTCCCTCAACAACTTTCCCCTCTGTGGATAATGGATGGCAGAGATTTCGGACCCTCTCGATCCGTCCACGTCCCTCCTCCGTTGCTGGCGGGGCTCGGGATGGAGCCTCACCGACACGGAGCGGCGGCCGCAGCCGGGAGGATCCCTCCCTCGCCCGGCCACTTGGGCGCGAGCCACCCGCCGACCCTCCACTCCGGGAAGTATCTGCCGTCGGCCATTAACCTACACGCACACCACGGTGAGTGCTCCATGTTGGGCTGCACGGGACGATTTGAGCTTGAAATTGCGCAAAGAAATGCGCTCTGGTGTTTTTTCCATATGTGGTCATAGCTTTGAATGTAGGTGCGGTTGCACGGGGAGCCACGCTTCCTATTTCGTTCAGATAAAAGGCTTTTAAGAGGCGTTTTTTGCACAAGTTTCACATCGTGTGGATGATTCTCGGGCTTTGCACTGTAATGGAAAATTACCTGTCTGTTTCCCACACGCGCACGGTTCTGGTTGTGGCGTTGCTGCAGCTCTGTGCGGGTCAGGTGGTCCTGGGCTTTGATCGCATGTGGATTATTGAAGCAGATGCATGTGTGTGTTTAACATCTCAGTGTTAACATTTGGCAGCGAGGACGTGAATGGTGACGTGAGGAATGACAAATCACTGTTTACCCCTCAGGGTGAAATGACGTGTGTTTTACATGAGGGAAGATACTCAGAGGGGTCCGATTTTATGCATTTTCTGCACCATCTGGACCCCCACCCCCCTCTGCTGCTGCTGCCTAATGGCAGATGTGTTTGTAAACAAATGTAAACTTCCACCATGTATGCAGGTATGTGCATCACCTGCGCATGAACTGAACACAGTAACGTTTGCCCGTGTTTAAAAAGACTAGGAAACGGTTCTGCTTGTTTGCAAACAGTTCTGTGGTTGGGTGAAGAGGAAGTCGGAGCACTGTCCTGTAAAAAAACAAACAAAAAAAAACCATGATGTAGGAGTAGGAAGAACAAAAAGGAAAGTCTGATTATTGCATCCTCGTAAACACAGGCTGAGATCATTTATCTGGTTTCTCTCTGAGCTACAAACTCGCAAAAATAATACTTTTGTGTGACTTTGGAGATGCGTAGGGGCTGCTAGTGTTCAAAGGACATGGCTCTGATGAAGCGTTAATTTGACACCCTGACAAAGCCCACACACTCTATTCACACACAAACATGAAAAGGTGCCAGCGATGAAATCAGCTCACAGCGAGGGGTGTTACGGTGATTGATGGGTGCATTGTGGCGGGGAGATGTACCGGGGTGCAATTTATTGCTGCTAGAAGAAGATTCCTGGTGAATATTCCCAGGCAGTAATCTTATTTGAGATACAATGTTTACTTGATAATCCTGCTGCTGCAGTAGCATGTTTCAGTGCAGATGACGTGATTTTTCTCTTGTTTTTTTTGCCCCCCTCCCTCCTCCTGCGGCTCCGAAAGGAGCTGAAAAGTGCTTGTGGTGTGTGCATACGTGCTCGTACAGAACGAACTTGAAGCACAGCCACGGGTGGGGGGATGTACGGTGGAGCTGACCCATCCACAGCCCAGATTGTGGAGTTTAAACTCACCTTTTTAAAAACAGGATCCATTTTCCCCCGCCCACACACGCTGACCTTCTCACACCACCACCCCCTGCACTCACAGTGAAGCGGACCGCGCTGCACGTTACAGGTCATTTAGCTTTACGACGCCCCTCCATATCGCATCCCCACACATTACGTTAACCACAACCGATTGAGATCTCCGTCCCACGTTTGTAATAACACTCTGCAGCCTTATTATGTAATAATTTCCCAGTAATTGCAGAGTGTTCGTGATGTGCCAGTTGAATTGCTGTGAATGAGCTCGACATACCGTGCAACTAAAGGAGCTGAGGCGGTCCTGGTGTCGTTTTCGTTGACACGGGTTTCGTGGGATTAAAAATGTATTTTTTTGTTTTTGTTGGCTGAGTTCTTGAAAATAGATTTGAGTGTTTACAGCTGCAGGCTCACCTCTTTACCCCAAGGAGAGTTTGTAATTTTTTTTTGGGATGTTGCGAAGCAGCTGTACTGTTTGTTTGAAACGCTTCATCAAGCTGCATTTAGTTTGTTTACATTTGTGCTGCTGATCTGATGCATTCTGCAGCAAATTAGGGCGTCTGTCCACCATCAAACTCCAGTTTCTGCCCAGCTCTATGGACATGATGAGGTATAGTTTGTGTTTAAAAGGCTGTAAATGGTCCTCTGTCTACTGGAGGTCTGCCGGTGGTTCCATCACCAGATTGAGGCCATCTGTCCTCTTTTCATCTGTGAGCAGCAACGGTACAATTCAGAGACTAGGCCAGGGACGGCTTCACTCTTAAACCGTGAACCGTCACAGCGTGTTCGGTAATGAATGCAACGCATCAAGAATTCAGAATTATGCACTCTGGTGTTGAGATTAAATAATTGAAGCTTTTAGTACTGTGAATGTCGGTTTTAATGCTAAGTGCTTTTTTCTTTCTGACTCTAAAGGTTGCTTTAAAAATCAAACAAAATGTCGCATGTGTTATTTTTTTTTTTTTGCTAATTATTCTTACTTGACCACTGTTGTAATAACATTGCTATTTTTTTCCTGTGTTGCACGAATTGGCTATCGGTCCGTTTAAGAAGTTTCAAACTACATTTTAAGACCAAGAGACCAAAATGTGAGTTGTTCCAGCACCTTGAGCTCCTTGAGCGTACCCTCAGAGGAGGAGGAGATGGGAATGAGATACATGTGGATGTTATGGCGATGTGGGAGAACGGAGGTCAACAGAGGCAGATGAAAACAACTCGAGACAAATGGGAGAGGAGGGCTAAATGGGCACCATCTGTAGGCTGGAAAGCAGTGTTTTGTCTTGGGAATGTTAAGGTGCTGCACTTGCAGTGTGTGTGTGTGTGAGAAGGTTGTGTGTGTGAGAAGGTTGTGTGTGTGCTTATTTCAGTTATGGCTAGGGTTTTCCCCTGGGACTGTGGAGAGAATAAAAAAAGATTTATCTTGACCGCAGCATATTCATACAGAGTTAGATGAATGTGGTAAACCTGCAGTTGTCCTTTCGTAAGGTCTCGCATGCGTGTGCACAAACGCACACACGGCGCTTGTGTGTAATAACTCTTGGAGCTCGCTGGCAAGGCCGGAGATATCTGCACCAGTTTGTCTTCCACACTGCTCGGTTGGTGTTTCCGTTTAAATTATTGTGACGAGTGTGTGTTTATATGCATTCAAGGCACATGCCCTTGCACTCACACGTGTGCGCGCGTGTTGGAGAGGAGGATGTGGCTCGGACATGTCCCTGCTCAGATTAATTGAATCCTTCAGGAGAAAAAACAGCCTCCTTAAGAGAATGCACAAGGCACTGGCCTGCTGCAATAAACCTGTCAGACACAGACAAACTACCGAACTGCACACAACACACAGCTGTCAAACATGAGTGATCGAATGGTGTGTGTGTGTGTGTGTGTGTGTGTGTGAGAGAGAGAGAACAAGCATGCCGCAGCATGCTGAAATATCCAAAGTATTACCTAAGTCATTCACTTAGCCAGAACCCTCCCTTTTAATGGAAACAACAGCCTCCAGCACATAAGTTCACACACACACAGCTCGTCTGTCCGTCCGGTCGTTGGGCTGCATGTTGAGTCTCTACATGCTTCGTTTCAGAAGCCAAATAATATTCTGCTCTGGGCTTTTAGTTGAGATAAAAAGCAACATAAAAGAAAACCTAAAGAGAGGTCATGTAACAGCATTTCTAATTCAGAGCTGCAACAATGACCCGTTTGAAATCACCAGAATTGAGTCACACACAGCGGAGGCTAGCTAGCTTGATCACGGTTTAGCCTTTTTTCTTTTTTTCAGACTCTTGGTCTGTTGTTGATTCTGATATTTAGCTCCTCATGAACCAAAGTTCAACCTCTGTGTTAGATCTGTGGGTAAAGTTGTCCCTACTTTCTGTGTGTTTTTGTATATGCATGTAACCTCCATGTCGGTGCCCAGCAACACGTGCCGTTTTGTCTGAGACACTTTGTGATTATTTTTTTTTTTTTGCGTGTGCACCTGTTGCGAGCGTGTTCCTGGCGTGTCAGAATCAGTCCTGCCACCCTCGACACAGGCTCGCTGCGTCTCCGCCTTGAAGCAACGTTTAGCACAAAGCTTCGTAGAGCAGGTTGGAATCAAAATGTTGGCTGGGTGCCTTTTTGACTGTTTGGTGAAGGTGGATAAGTTGGCCTTTGTGCGACTGGATTTAGATGGCTCAGTTCCATTGAACTGCTTCATTTGCAGGGTGTGCTGGATCACTGTCACACTCCTGTGGCTTACTGAGCCAGCAGTAATGTTATTACACACACACACTTTTCCTGTTTCCCATTCCAAACAAGCCCTGACTGCTCCTGCGAAAAAAGGCTTCTTATAATTGATTAATAAAAACAAAATGACCAGTTTTGTTGCATGTTATCATGTTTTAGCTTCAGAGTTTGCGTAGTTTGAAGTATTTTTTTTATTTTTATTGGCATATTGAACCAGTTAAGTGTCTCCTGGGAGCTACAGGATTGTTTAAAATTAGTTTTGTTTGCAGCAGTCATGCCATCCCTTTATTGTTGTGGTGGAATGTTTTTAACATGATGTAATATATTTACTACGTAGGTCAAAACTTTCTCCAGAGCTGTGGATCTCAGTGTGGTGGTGCAGTGTAAAAGCATTTTTTATCATGGTTACAAGTGGCAATTTGTACATTTTAAATAAATAACCAAGGCTGCAAATCTGTTATTTCTATTTAATAGATCAGTAGCTGGAAAGTCTGAGTGTGAACCACTTAGATCTAGATTTTTTTTAAATTTATTTTTTATCTGTGCCTTGTAGAAGTGCTGTTAACAGATCCACGGGGTAGCTGTAAAACATCACGCTGCATCTTAACTCTACTGTTTTTTGTTTTTCCTGACCGGATGCTATTTTCAACACAACCCTTGGGAGTTTATCCTCGTTATTTTTCAGTCCTCCTCCATCATGTAACACAAACATGTTGCCCCACTTTAATAAGTTTCCACCTGAAATGTTTTGGACGACCTCTGAGCAGCACATGTACCTGGAAAAAGCAAAAGATCCAATGTTTCCAAATACTTCTACTTTCTGAGTAGTAATTGTAAAGATGTGACCTGTGACTGTTATTAAAACCATAGTAGTAGCCACCTTTGTACACAAACACTAAGTAGTTTTACATAAACTT